GGATTTTTTTGGGTGGGGTGTTGTGGGTTAAAGGGCCCCCCAAAGGGAAAAAACCGCCCCCCCCTCCCTCGGCCTTCATGGGTTTTTTTGTTTTCCCCCCGTTTTCCGGGGGATGCTTTGGGAAATGGGTTTTTTTTTATTTTCCAAGTTTCCCCTAAAAGGGTGATAACCCCCCGGGGTTTCCCCTTTTTGGGTTTTTTTTAAAACCGGCCCCTGCTTAGCCCCCCCCCCCCCCCCGCGCCTGTTCGATGTGCGGCACCCCCCCTCGCGCACTTAAAACCCCACGAAACTACAGTACTTCGAGAAGAGAAAAACTACCAACCGCGTGACTCTTGGCACGCCACCAAGTGGACGTAGGGTGTTCTTGTAGTACTTTATTCAAAAAACAGTCGACGATTCATCGGATGAATCGGACAGATGGCCACACCTTTTCCTCCAAACACCCGACGTATTATTTCCTTTCAGTCAACTCTAAGCGCGTTGCTATGTACGTATCTCACTTGGATCACACGAAGAAAGAAAAAACTCTAGAAGTATGGATGTACCCCAGTTCCGCCCTGGTCAGGAAAAGGTGAGACGTGCAAATACGGATACAGCAGCACGAGACATATGACACAAACGGCTCGTCCGCGGCGTGGGGCGCAGGGCCTTGCTTGGCCTTCTCAGAAAGCCACACAAGTGTTTGGCGAAGCATCTCGAGCCGTAGAGAAATCGCAATATAATAGCACAGAACGACGCGCCAGCGCGCAAAACAGAAGAGATTGAGAGAGAAAGGGACAGCGGTAGTAGCATGAAACCAGAAAAGCGCGGCATACGAAATCGTGGCGCGCGCAACACACCAGAACAACCTGAAAAAAACATACCGCAACTCTACCTTATTCTTGTTCCTTTTTCGGTTCCATCCAATCGAAATACCCCCACCAAGGTAAAACAAAACTCTGCAAAAACGAAGAGCTGCCCACTGGCGGCCATCCAAGCCAACATCCCAACCGGACGAAAAACAACCCACGGGAATCACAGATGCAATATAACCGCCATGCCGACGTTCAGCCACAAAAACCAGCGTCCTAATCTAGACCCCTGAGCCCTTCTTTCCTGCTGCGTCTGCTTCTGCTGCTGCGGGAGGGGCGGCGGCGGCGGCGGCGGCGGCGGCGGCGGCGGCGGCGGCGGCGGCGGCGGCGGCCTCCGTATCCGGAGGTAACGAGGGCAAAGGCCTCGTTCGAGTCTTCGACGGCCCTGCGAGTTGTCTGTTCTGCTCGTTAACTACAATCTTGGCGTAGTCATCTCCGACCTGGGGGCACGGCGACAGAAAAAAATCGGACGTAGTGCGGACACATTGCACGGGGAAAGGCATCAGGCGTCAATCCTAAGCTCCTCGCAATCCTTTCAGCCTGCGTACACCATGTGCGGAAAGCAGTGTCTTACCACCACACCAAATCACACCAACACACTCAAATGCTGCAAGAGATGTATGTACAGTATACGCCACTGTACATGCGCCCTGTTCCCACCTTGCACTGGACGCCGACATAGTTGACGGTGTTGCCCTTGCCGTCTCTCAACGACGCGACAAAGAACTGGTTCCAGAAAGTCGTGCCGTCGGCCCTGTAGTTGAGCAGGCACACGCTCGTGTCGTATCCTTCGTCGATCGCCTGTCGAACCGTTCGGCCAAGACGGGCAAACAATTTCAGCAGTACAAGGTTTGATTCAAACTAGCCTGTCGGCGGCGCAAGCTGCTGGAAATAAAAGAAGAACGCGGATACCTGTCATTCGCAGGAGGTATGTACCCATACACCGGCAAGTGCGCAAAAAAAAATAATGCGGCGGGTTTCTTTCCACGGATGCATGCGGTACACACATGTGCGCGCACAGCCATGGTAAATGCGACCATGGGTCAGTTGTGCAAGTCGGCATCTGCTTTTGTTGCCATCTCCAAGCACGCACTCAAGAGCGAGGCACCAACAAGGCTCACGTGAAACCTGCGGCATTGTACGTACGTATCACAGCAAACGTGTCGGCTGCACGTGGTCCCTTTCGAGCGGCAACATCGCCGACAGAACCGTACCGCACAGCACAGCACAGCACAGCACAGACTTGTGTGTCTCCAAAACGCGCGTTTGCACAAAAGACGCTGGATGCTCTTGCGGCCGTAAAGGGAGCATTGACTGACCGCACTAAACAACACGGTACAAACGCTGCCCTCTTACGGAAGCACGACCCTTTGCCGCCACGAAAAAGACGAAAAGCTCATAACGGATAGATACTCTATCCCTTGCTTTCACTACTGGTGGCTCTCTTGGTCTCTAGCACACGTGACACGTGACGTTAACAATGGGACCGCCTTCGCGAGAAATTCGAGAAAATAATTAAGTTAATGGGGAAATAGAACAGGGACGGGGTAGGCAGATCCTACTCCGTACCCCTATAACCCAACTTCTCCGATTGCATCCTTTACCCGACTTGTTCGCAAACAGAAAAACCCTCCGAAGGCTAATAACGTATTTATTCCCCGGGGCACATGCATATTGCATACCTTTCTAATTTTGTCGACTGCCTTTGGGTCGGTCTCCGCGCCTTGCAAGAAGCGGCAGTTTCGTCCCAACACCTCGACAAGCTTGTATCTCGTTAGCTGCGGGATGGATGGACACGATCGACGACGGCAAGCACACGACACCACGCCACGTTAGGTTTGTCGATTGGGTGTACGGTCTTCCGTACGCTTGGCACAAACGCTCCACCAGGTGTCTGCTACAGGTGTCTACAACGCGAGTGCGCAGTCGAATCAAACAGCCACTCAATAGAATCCTGGACAACCAGTGCCATGCGCATACACCTGCCCAACAGCACCCTTAACAATACAACACCCACAACGTCTTTACATACAGCCTGTGCTACACAACTCACAGCGCGCTGTGGACAAAAGCGGCATCTGCTGTCTACAGGTAGTTGTTACGCTAGCAATGCTAAAAAACGAAGACCCCAAACTCCCAACTCTTGAGAAGCTGCGTGCACCTACCTCGTCCTACAACGCCGCACACGTAGTCCACAACTTGTCTATTTTCTTTCTTTTAGGGTAACCTTACGTACGTACCGCGAGGAAGCCGCCGCTTGCGAAAACGATGGGGTTGTCTGGTAAGGAGGCGTCGGTGATGACGAAGTTCTGCTGGGCCGTCTGTAACGCCTTCACCAACGAGTAGTCGGGATCGTCCAATATCTGTAGCATACAAGTGGAACAGGGGAAGGGGGGACTGAGCACACACAGAATTGACGCCAAACACACCTTGTGAGCGCACACATCTAACCTGGATGTCTGCATCATACCCTTCCGACAATGTGGCGTATTTATAGTGTCAATCGAAGGAAGCAAACGTGATTCGTCACTGTCGTGTGTGTAGCTTAAAAATCTTTTCTATCAAACCATTTTCTTTCAGGCAAGACAAATACTTGCAAGTATGTACTACAGCAATCACGGAATCGACCAAGCATGTACATTGCCCACGTGGCTGGCTTGGTTTGCTTGCCTTGGTCGCCTGCTTGTTGTTGGCCGTGACCAACGAGCCCCCCGTGTCCGCCGGCATGCACTTCGCCACCAGCTCCCTTCCTCGCTCTCCCAGGGACCCAACGATAGACCCCTTCAAGGACTCGTTTTCCGCCTGAGAGGGAGGGAGAACCAACCACATTCCACAAGAAAGTGCGGATAAAATGCACGGTATACGGCGGTGTTGACTAGATGCGCCAGAGACCATACACCACATCCAGACAACCAGACGAGCAAAAGACTAAATCACATCCGGACAACCCAAGGGCAAGGGGAGAAGGGAGAAGGGAGAACGACTGCAACAGCAGCACAAGTGAAACCCCGGTTGACAGGACATGGTTCCGCCCCTTTTAGCGACAGGCCCGCCGCATGGGCACCGTCTCTGCGCTTGAGTACCACCACACCAACCACCTTCGAGCCAACGACACGGACGGAAGCAGCATCCAATACGCCAGCACCAGACAACATAACCAGCACACTACCACCACCCTATGCTTTGCGATCGATTCGTTTTGCCGCAGAGCAAACAGGTCATGGTTCTCCTTCTGGCGGCGCGTGTAACAGCAAAAAAGCTACAGCAGCACAAGCAAGCGCGTGGCATGGGCAGACGGCCTATTCACCTGAATAGCGTCCACGCTACGCTGAAGGGAGTCGAGAAGAAACTTCTTTCTCACGCGGCTCCTCTTCGCGTGCTCACGGTTCCGCTCTCTGTTCGTTGGTTGCAACAACATCACCACAACACCACAACACCACCAAATCATGAGTAAGTTTTGGGTTGGCGACAGACAACCCACGGCAGTAACAAAGACACGAACCGGCGAGCGGGAGCGGGAGAGAGAGTCTATGGTACACCAGTGGTGGGCCCGGTTTGGCGACATAGGGGTAGGGTTACGGTTACGGTTATGACACGCCCCCTTTGGGCGACATATCCCTGTTTAGCGACATGCCCGTGTTTAGCGACATGCCCTAGACCCCCTGTTCACCGACATGCCCTGCCCTGTATAGCTACCACAAAATCACGAGGCATTGCACCCCGACTAATTGCCGTTACTTGGCGGCACTAGCGACCTGCCGTTGCTAGCGACCACAGTAGACGTTCCAATAGGGGTCGCCAAACCCGGACCCCCTCTCTCTCGCTGTTGTACGCCACACGTGTAGCAAGACTGATTGTCAGTCGTGTTACAACTCGCTATCCATCGACGTGGCCACACATCGCGCAACAATGCTAAAAACTCCCCACCGCTGTTAGCTTTCTTCCATCACTCTTCATCCTCGTCCGTGGACAGACGTTCGTTCCATCATCCATCATCCACTAGTACCCACCACGACAACAGCGAGGCAGCGAGGGAGGCACCATGCCCCCCCCCCCCCCCCCAACCCCCTTCTCTCTCTCTCTCTCTCTCTCTCTCTCCACGTCGAGAATCGTGGACCCCTTTATTCAACCTGGCATAGCACCCTTACAGCCGTGCAATACACACATGCCGCATCGGACACGGGTGTGCCCAGAGCTTAGGGGTAAAACGCCATGGGGTAGCCATGGGGTATCTATCTATCTATCTATCTATCTATCCCTTGTCCACGCGTCTACAAGAGGGACAAACTGGCATGCTTTCTCTAGCTGGGGACACTTCACTCCCCGGAGAAAAAATGTCAGCAAGGAAGCTAGTCAAGGGGTGGCGGCAAACAATCTTAGCCTTTGGCTTCAGGTCCAACAGAAGTCCAAGAGGGAGCCCGCCCGAACCAAGCGAACGGAACGGGAGCCAAAGACAAGCAACAACCGTAGCAGCTCGACCAACAAAACCCACATGGAACTATATCAGCAGACAGACAGACAGACAGACGGACCTTCTCTCGATCCGCTGCTCCTCGGTGAGGTCCTTGCTCGAAACCTTATGCCTCTGCCGCCGGGGCGCCGCCGTTGCCCCCGCCCCTGAGTGAGGCCCCCTCCCCCACGCCACGGAGATCCCGCCCCCGGTAGTCGCCGCCGATATTCCCCCCCCTCTCGGCGGCAACGATGATGCCCCTGCTGCTACTGGAGCTGCTGTTGGTGTTGGTGCTGGTGTTGGGAGCGGTACCACTCCCACTGCGCCTGCGGCGGGTATAGGGTGAGCCTTCTCCGCTACCCCACCCGCTGCGAACGGCGAGCTCGTCTGCGCCTGTCGCGTTATTCCGTCGTGCCGCAGGATGGGGGTGGTTTGATAAATTTGGGTTGCATGATACTCAGATCGATCGACCCAAGGAGGATAAAGGCGAGAGAAACAACAACACATACAGCCGTGCCGCACGCACGCACGTGGGCAGACCCTATATAATACTGTCGGACACTACCGGAGATATCGAACAAGCGGGCACGTTGACGTGGAGGAACGCAGCAGGTGTGTCTGCCGTAAGCGCGAAACAGACCGCCCTGCCCCGTCCGTGGAAAACTCCAGCCAACCTAATCCCACACACCCCGATAACCAAATGCAAAGCCAAAACAAACCTGTGCGTGCGCCGCGGCGGCCTGGGCCGCCTGCTCCGCCTTCGACGCCGCCAGCTGCTGCGCCGCTCGCGCCTGCTCGGCAGCTACCGCCGCCTCCGCCGCCGCTGCCGCCGCCGCCTCCTGGGTACTAACGCCTCCCCCCCCCCCAACGAACGCCCCCTGCGACGAGAGCCCGGCAACAACTCCCGGCGCCGCTCCGACTATCTGCGGGCCCACCCCCGGCGCCGCCGAATCGTCTGTGTCCATCATGCTTCCCTGCCCCCCCCCCGGCAAGTTCAGGAGATCCTGGAGCTCGTGGGAGGACCGCCTAACGGAGGGCATTGGACCGGCGCCTTCCCCGACGGCCTCGCCCGCGCCTGTTGCTGCTGCTGCCTCCGCGGACACGCCGCCGGCAGCGGCGGCGGCGGCGGCGGCGGCGGCGGCGTCCCCGTCGCCGGCACTCCCGCTGAGAACGGCGAACTGCGCGAACGGCGTGTGGGTGGTGCCCTCGCTTATGGACGTGGAGGAGAGGGTTAGGTTGAGGGATTCGTCGCCGTCTGAGGGTATGTCGAGCAGGTCACCGTCGGGGGAGAAGAACACTCCGGAGAACACGTCGTCAAGGTTAAGGTCCATGCCCTGCGTTAAATGTACAGCAGTGCCATAGAGGGGAGGGACAGGCGAGAGTTAGATGGCGACGAAGGGAACATGGGGGTGGGAAGAAACCTCAAAAGGCAGGTAACGGTAACACGGTGGGCGGGCGCAAGGACAGGAGAGGGGGGCGTTCATCAAGTCGCCATAGAACATGGCCAACGAGAACGATGGAGGGTGGACTATAGTACTGTGGGTAGAAAAACCATGGGAAACTACTGCTGTGGCACGGGAGCGGTTGGCGTCGTAGCGGGGTATTCCCTAGCAGCAGAGGATTTCGAACACTTCAAACTACCGAGAGTATTTCCGGGTGTCAAGATTCAGCGGGAGGTGTACCGAAAAATAATCTTCCGGGGCGCTTAGTTTTTTCTCCCCGTCGGTCAAAAGCGGGATGTTACTTTTGAACCGTTCGGAGCGGCGGGGTAATTCTGAAATATCCCGCCTGTCCGCCGTTCTTTTGGAGAAAAAACGTACAGGTACCTAAGAACAATAGGCAGCAGCGAAGGTACTATTAATACCCACTCTTGGCGTGTGTAGACGCGGAACGTGTGCGTGAGGGCAGCCATCGTTTGACGGAAATGGCCGCGGACTGGGGCGTCGTCTTGCGGGATGTTCTCGCATGTGCTGCTGCTCATAGCATACAACCCAGCAGTGTTTGCGACAGAATATACAAAAAATGCCCGCCACCATCCATAGATATGCACAGCAGTTCCTCTTTAGTCTCGTCTCTCTCTCTCTCTCTCGCCGCCGTGAAATACCCCTTGTGACAAGTGCTGGGACGGGTCACATGAGCCAGCCACACAACAGCAGTCACAGCCAGCCCGAGCAACCCGCAGGCGGAACAACAGCAGCAGCACAACTAGACAAGAGAGAAGAGAACAGAATTGGATAAGCAGTGTTGTCCTCGTACAAATATCACGGGTTACCGGGGCACGAAAGCGGCCAAGGTCGATTCGATCGATTTCTACATTTCGACACCCTTCTTCTCGTCCCGTGCGGTGACTACCAACAAAAACGCCGATGGCCTAGTATGCCCACCGAACCACTCCCACCCCCCCACCCCCCCGACTCACGCCGCCGGCAAAACCGGTCGCTCTCCTATTAGCGGTTATTTACTGCTGTACTGCCGTACCCCCTGCTGCCGATCCGACTTTGGGAAGGTGCAACTCTTACGTTGTACCCCCCCCCCCCCCTACAACCCTTATCACGCAAAAAACAATCTATCGGCAAGACGAGAGGTGCCTTGGGTTGACCATTACAGAGAGTACCTCCTCCACCTTTTTGTTTTTTGTCTCAAAGCCGGACTTCAAAGAAAAAGAGGCCGGGGGGAAAATAAATTGTTCCAGATGTGAAAATGGTCCAAAGAAATCGCACAAGAACCGGATTAAGAACACCCCGAAATGTAACCTCCAGTGCTCCAGTGCTTTGCAGCGCTACCGAGCAAGGAAGCGGCGGCAGACAGGTGTGGTCGCGACGCGCGCCGTTTATTGTTTTCACCACCCTGTCGTGAGCGAAGGATCTGATCGAGGTAAAAGTAGTGGATGTATCTTGCAGATTCCATCCGAGCTACATGCATGACACATGGGGTATGAAGATATAGCCGTCGGCAATGGCGAAAACGTAGATACACATTTACACTTGTGTGTAGAGCAGAGCGCCGCAGATTGGCACCAACAAAGCGCCAGCGAGAGGGGAGGGTGGCAGTGACTGCTGCCGCTACTCTGTTGCCATGCATTTGACATCATACGGTTTGAAAAAAGCAGGCGAAAAAGGCGCCGGCTGCAGCCTGCAGCGACTGGTCTGTCTGTGTAATAAGTAACTTCGAACAAGACACCTGCACCAACTCATCCAACAGTACTAGCTCAAGACAGAAATGGGTAACCTGCAGGAGGCAGGAGGCACCACATCCGATTACTGCTGTGGTTTGCCTGCTACCTGGGGGGCTACCTTGCCTATCCCTTGTACACTACCGCTGCTGTTGGCTTATTTTTGTATGTTGTAGCGACCGGCAGCAACGTTCCATTCTTGGTTCATGGGAACGCAGAACAGAGGGTGCAGCATTTGGCCAACTTGTGTCCAAATATTCATGGTCAACAACCACGACTCTGGAGCTTCCTAAAGGCACCACTACACCCTCGGGGTCTGGAGAGAGACAACTCGGCTGAGAGCCAAACCCTCCATGGTATCTACCAACAAACGCTTGCTCCTATGCATATAGCAACCGCTTTGCGAGGGTGCTGCTGCTGCTGCTGCAGGATTCGAAAAGGCAAGAGGGTACTTGGCATCCTACATGAAAATCGCAGCTGTGCCAAACGTCCCCCCACACTCCCTCTCTCACTACCCATGCACCAGGAAGGTTTGTTTCGGTAAACCTCAGCGCAATATCTCCTCAAAAATGGCAACAGCTCATGACCCAGCACACCTTGAATTCGTGGCCTGCTTCGGCGTTGGCATTGCCGAAAATCGGCGGGAGCGGGGCATCCCCGCCTCCCCCCCATCCTCCTGCACCGCTCGCTGGCTGCTGCCCTCCACCGCCGCTACCAGCGCCACCAGCCTCGTCCATGTTGGCTCCGACCACGTCTACCGCTGTGTAACAGCAGTACCTCAGCCAGACCACAGGGGTCACCAGCCCACAGCGAGGTTGACACTACACAGCAGTGAGAGACTCCTCGGCGGAGACTCCTTCCCCCCCCCCTTGGCAGCAAACCCCTGAAAAAAAAAAGTGTGTGGAGCACGTGGAGAAGATAGCTCGCTGCACTTCCGACAGCACGAAGCAGCTTTTGACCAGCACCGACTAGAGTACAAGACCCAATCTAGTGTTGATCTCCAGGGCGAGGGGCGAAGCTGCTCGGCTAGTCCTCCAAGGTGCCGCTGCCGGCGATGCTCTACTAAGGCGATGGGAGAGATGACGTGTATCTCCCACTTCAAGCTGTTCAAGTTCCCCCCGCACATTAAAGTTCTCAAATCTGATTGGCTGAAACACGACAGGAAGGAGGAGTTGGCCTGTAGCAGCTCGGTCCGACGGCACGACGGCACGCGTTCGGCAAACATATTACACGCCCCGCGGCTCTCTCCCGAAACCTGCATGTCACAGCAGATGTCAGCAATAGCGGCCTGGCGATCATCTATAGAACTTTTGCTGTAAGCAATGCTTCTCGTATTCGTGGAAGAAGAGCGTGGAAGCGGCCGCGGTGTGTGGTGGGAATTTGAAAATCCTTATAAAACACCTGAGAGATCATCAAAAGGGGTCGACGAGGAAGATCGATCATGCTGTCCATGCACTCACTACAGGACGGTGCTGTGCGCATGATGCATTTGTTCACGTAGGAGGGCTGCACAAAGGTCGTGCCATTTGGCGGCGTGATGACAAGGGGTGTCATTCTCAACGCTTGGGACATGCTATTAATTGCTGTGCGCGCTGCCGAACGACCACGCCCGCCGGTGGTCGTTTCAGTTTGGCCCAGCCGCTTGAGCAGGAAGCAAAAAAATTAAACACCGAAGATATGTCGGAGGTCTCCCTCGGTAACTGCTGTACCTACTATATTTCCCGCACGACACCTTCACAATTTCAACAATGACCAAACCTGCTACGTCAATCTCGGTTTCATTGGCGCTCTGGCCCAGTTGTGGCTGCTCAACGTATCCATCTTGTAGAGCAAGGTTTCGTGTCATTCGAGATTTCGTTGACTTTGATTACACTCCCCGTCCGATTAGATCAAGCTTTTTTTTATGTAAGCAAGCTTTATATGTAAGCACACCAATTAACAACCAACCGCGATGATAGCGCCGAATGACGGCAAAATGATGTGCATAAAACCTACACATATCTTGACATCTATCTGTAAAAGGGATTCCTGAAGTGAACTGACTGACATGGTGGTGTTGTGTTGCTTGTGTTTATGTACCAGATAGGCTTAAACTCTGTGTGGAACACCAAGGCGAGACGCACGTTCTGCTGAACGCTCATTTCTGTGTGTGCGGAGTGTATAAAACAAACCCTACCTCTGATGCCTATCAATACTGTACGCTGGTGCTTTCTAGTGATGGCTGCATAAACACGCACTAACCATAACCCCCCACCGGCCATCTATAGTAGAGAGAATTACAAACAACCCGCTCTACGTGTTGCGTTCCTGTCACTCCTGGGTGTAGAGTCATTGACGCCACCAAGGCCAAGGAGATCAAGGGCAGCGCCGGAGCCCCCTCGGAAGCCGAAAAGGACGCCTACGAGCTGCTTAGGACCCTGGTGAGAGCAAGTCGGCCAAAACGATGTCGGGCCAAATGGTTCGGCCCCCACGGTTAACATTTTTCTGCTGTGTGTGCCTTTTGTGAGCTGTCTCTCATTGTTACTGAGCATCGACCGCGAATACCGGCTGACAGGAATCTTTCATAATCTATGCGGGGCATAAAAAACAGCCTCTGGCCCTGTGCCCTGCTGCACAATTGCTTTATAGCCCCCACAATTATTTAGCTCCTTGAGCGTAACCTCCCCCCCCCCCCACCCCCCCCCCAAGAAGGCCTTGGGCGTTTAATATCCAACCCTCACCTCCAGTTACGCATAAAGGCCCTACCATGGGGCCTTCCCCCCCAACTAATGTTTCCCCCCAAATGGCCCTCCAAGACAGCAGGGGTCCAAAAGGGCGCAAAATAACTATCCCCCTGCCCCCCTCAACAAACACCCACAGTAACCAACCCCCCCATCCAAAACCCCCCCG